CCGCTCAAAAGTGCTTCCCCGCACTCACCGCTACTGTGAGACTGTTCACTGCCACAAACGGCCTGCTGCTGAAGACAGCCTGGGGAGGCGAGGGACTTCTCCCCATCCTTCCCAAAGATGAATGGCTTCATCAACGCCTGGGGCCTGCAGCTTGACATAAATGAAGCCCTGTCAGCATCCCCTTCACAGGGCTTTTCTCCAGCGGAACTCTTCTGGCGCTGGTTCATGTCTTCATTGAAACCAGAGCTTTCCACACGTGCTCCGGCCAAGTACAGCGGCTGCATAGTGTGTGAGCTTGGGAATTCAGCCTGGTGCAAAACTTCTTCCAAAGCAGGGGCAGGTGTCTCAAAGCGATTAGTCACCTGGGTAGATGGACTTGTCTTAGACAGCACCCCTTCTGAAGGCACAGCATAAGTTATCTCTTCACCCTGCATTCCAGGACAGGAACCTGAAATCAGAGAAATACATGTTGAAATGCTAAGGAAATGATGCTAACATCCTCGGAAAGAGAAAAGACCATCACAAAGAGAAGTTAGCCACAGAAAACGATGACACGGCTGGACTCAGGATTTTACACTGGTACTCTACACTTGAGAATCTAAAGCAAGATGCTGTGGGCTTGTAAGTTTGAGGCTAGCTTGTGCTACACAGCCAAGAGCTTATCACCCACCCAATCCTCCCCCCCAAAAAGGAAAAGAAACAATGAAACCACTGGACTGTTCTAAGAACAAAATAGCTGTAGAAAGGCTAAGGGAGCTGTTTCAAATATAGAACAGGGTACATTACACTAGACAAAGGACACAGGATGGGATGCAGGAAAGGAGGAACAGGGTATCCAAGCAACTCCTCAGGTAACAGCCTTTAGCTGTTTTTTATTTAAATTAGAAACAAGCATCTTTTGCATGTCAATCTCAGTTCCTCTCCCTCCCCTCCTCCCCTGCCCCTCACCAACCCCCTATTCCAACCCATTTCTGCTTCCCAAGGGGGTGAGGCATGAACATGGGGGATCTTCAAAGTCTGTCATATCATTTGGAGCAGGGCCTAGACCCTCCTCAGTGTGTCTAGGCTGAGAGAGCATCCTTCTACGTGAAGAGGGCTCCCAAAGTCCATTTTCATACTAGGGGTAAATACTGATCCACTACCAGTGGCCCCATAGATTGTCCAGACATCCAAATTGACCTCCTCCTTCAGGGGGTCTAGTAGGACCTTTTCTGCTGGGATGTTTCTACACTGAGCAAAAGCAGTGAAACTAAGCAGGGAGCGAGCAAGGGTTAATTACAGCTATGTAAGTGCCTCATGGAACCATTTATCAACACTAAGAGTGCACTGGCATCAAGGTAGCCAAGAGCCAGAAGGCACGGGTGAAATCACAGGTTGGCAAAGTAATGAACATAGAGAAGTAAAGATAGAAGTAAGGCATGATGGGTGACTCCTTTATTAAAACACTGTGGGGCACTTTATTGGTTCCTGACATGATGGGAAGGACCATGCCTTTCCCTGGGTGCCTATTACCAGGTCAAGTCTCTTCTAAGACAGTCTTGTCTCATGTCACCTCTACAAAGCCACTAAGACCCCTCCTGTAGCCCTAACCACATGAGAAACAAAAATTACAAATACTAAAAAATAAGAAGAAAAGAAACAGCATAAGACTGACCAGTACTAATTCACAGCAACTTAACAGAAAATAGTATATGAGAAGAAAACAGAACTAAACACTTAAGGGTCCTTCAAGACT